TAAATCATGAAACTACTGGAGGATATTTATCCTTTGAATTCATCATGATCAAGCCCGTCTTTGTAAATAATCTATTTAAACATAGGAAACCGGATTAAGCATGAATGAGCTCATTAAACGTCTCTGATCATATATGTACACGATAAAAGGGAACTCTGAGATTCTTTAATATCTAGAAGAACCCTGCTGGACGCGGTGAGGGGAGCGGGAGGCGCAGAGATAAGAATGGGCTCGGGCTGGTGGATTAAAGCCGTGGTGGGGGTGGGAGCTTGTGAACAGCAGCGACTGCAGCTCCTCATTGATCTTTCCGTCTTTAAGACCTTCAGCTTTTTTATAAGGCATAGCTGTGATTTATGACCTGCAGGGCTATAGCTGTCCCATGTTGTCCTATCTACAGTCTGACAGCAGACCAGCTCCTTCTTCCTGTCACTTGCCTTTTTCTTCACTCCCTCTCACACACAAACACGCACACACAGATATTTGGATAAACCCTGGACACTGGAAAAATCCAGGTCCATCTTTTCTCATCATTTTTGACCCGAACGCATTCTCTCGCTTCTAATGAACGCAGCAGATCTGATTGATACGAATGGAAATGCCCTGGCATTAAAATCTGCATCTGGACATATTTATAAGTTGCAGCTGTTGGAGGAAAAAAAAAGACTTCAAAATATTTTAAAACTCTGATAAAGATAAATTTCTTTGATTTAAAAAGTTTTTTTCCTTCTTTTTTAGGTCTACTCAATAAAGCTTCAGTCTTCCTGTTATGCATCTCTTACCCAGCAGCAGCTGCACGGTGCACGCTGCAGCACACTTTATCCACAGTGAACAGTGAATGAACATTTCAACAATACATCAGCGGTCGTAAACCCAAATGCTTTGATGGCATGGCTAGCATGAGGTCAAAGGTCATCATCTGAGCAGCAATGTTGAGTATCATGACAAAAGAAACACTGGATTTGTATAAAAAGCATGACAATGAATGTTATGGAACTGGTAACATACAATATAAAAAACATCAGCATGCATTATCCTGAATCATGAGCAGGATATGAGGGTGTTAAATGTTGCTTTAAATCCTATTTAAATATCCGGCCCTGCAGCAGTCAGATCACCTCATTAAAGGCCCTATATCTTTTCTTTACTCCAGGATTTTGCACATTAAGTCTGTGTTGTGAATCAGAATTTCACAGTAAAGATTATAAAACAGGTAGAAGATCAAAATCAAAGTCTCTCTTACCATGAGTCTCAGTTTCTTGGTGAGGGAATACAATGCCTTCAGTTTCAAATAGGGGCTGCAGGAAGGCCACTACAGAGAGAGGAAGCACAGGGGTGGGGAGTGTGTGGTGTAAACTAATCATACATAAAAACAACCATTATTATGATCTCTTAGCACCACTTTGATTTCTAAATTTACAACTGCAGCGTGGGTGCAGCTTAAAAATATCAAATACAAAAGCATGTTCTCTGTGAAAAAATATAGCTTCTGCTTGGCTAAAGTCAGCCGTTACATGGTGAATGTTTTCTCTCCATCAAGAGTCAGGCATACAAACACTTTGCGTATCTCAATCCAAGTAAAAATCTAGGTTAGGCTCAACGCTGTTATCCAGAGAATTCTAGCTTTAAATCACCAAGACCAAATACTCTGATTAAAATTCAAACAAAAATGCATTTTCAGAACAGAGTAGAGTTTACTGTCAGTGCAAAATTTGTCACAATAGACCCACAACCAAGCTCTGATTCCTCTTTGTTGCTGTAGTTTTGTGTGTGTGTGTGTGTGTGTGTGTGTGTGTGTGTGTGTGTGTGTGTGTGTGTGTGTGTGTGTGTGTAGGAGCTACTTGTTCATTTTCAACCAAATGCTATCGGATCATCGGCCTGATGTTGCTGGCTGACCTGGCAGCACTGCAGCCGTCCCCTCTGCCTGAGTCTGTTTAGCTGTCTCATCATCATCATCATCATCATCGTTCCAACCTTTTCATTTGTCTAAATAGACAAGCGGCCTGAGTGTTACGCAGGCAGGAAGAAAGTCCCCAGAGGGGCCGCCTGGGCTTTTTACATACAGTGAGGAGGAGCCTTTAGTGCTCTGAGTGCTGCATCGATCTGGAGTTAAACACTGCTGGCGAACCTGCAGCTCACACCTCCTCAGTCGGACTCTCCTCGCTCGCTGTCTAATTATTACTCCTGAGGATGGCTGTCATGTTTCCTGGTGGGACCTGAAGAATCTGTTATAAATGGCCGTCCTGATTTTTTTTCCACCGGGGCCAAGTCATGCAAAAATCTACCAGAACATGAATTTCAGTAATCCAGAGGAGTCTGTCGCTTAGCTCGCACTAAACACAAGTTTGTTTTCAAATTTCACATTATGCCACCTGTCATTGTCATCCAAAAGGAACAGGGCACTTAAGCCCTATGGATCTGCGAGAGTTTATGTTTAGATCGTATTACAGCAGCCATAACAGTTGCACTAACTGAGCGAAGCCAAATCTTCTGACCATTTCAAATCAAGACTGAGAAATTAGGCCAACAATCACAGCTCAGTCATGCTCACCCTCTCTAATACGATGGAGGTTCCTCTTTAATATACGGGCAGAATTACCTGCAATGAAAATTACATTCCCAGGGGTTTTTTTTTTTGTTTTGTTCTGTTTGTTCAGGGAATTCAGTTTAACACTGAAGACATTTCAGAGTTTAAAGCTAAAATTTTAAATGCTGTTTTGCAATCTTTAAGGCCCTGGTGAGAATTACAGTTGGGACTAAACTCTAACAAACTCCACATTAGAGAACACGTTAGGTATCTTAACCTTAAGCATATAACTAGTCTTCAAATCAGTTTAACTGGCATTACAAATATTCAGTCTTCACAATCATAGTCAGATTGAACTCTCTGCACTAAAAGATCAGGTCCCATTAAAACCTATAGAATCTAACTATTTAAGCACTCTCCCAGAATCTCCAGCAGCATTTTAAAAAGTCTCCTAAACCTTTATCATCTTTTTGCTGAGTATAAATAGCACATTTAAAGGTGTATTGTATGTCCAAATGTCCATGATAGGGTGCATGGCCAGGATAGGCTACTGATGGTTGTAATGATGGGAATGCTTGGCGCATGACAGCATGTAAACAAAAAACCAAATATGGTGATTACCATGGTGACATATCCATATTTCATCAAACCAGAGAATAATGAAGAAATCATTCATCGAAGAAATTAGTGGAAAAGAAATCAGCTTTCCCTTCCAGCCGCAGAATATTAAAATCAGGACAACAATGAATGATAAAAATATCCTCTCCCTGACACACTGCATTAACACAGACTGTCGCATTCTAAACTGCTCTGGATTCCCCCTGTTTTCCCTAGCTCGCCACAGGGCTGCTGTTAATATGAGTCCGCTTGTTTATCCGCTTGTGTAATTGTACACAAAGCGGCGATGGTGGCTGATGTGTGAGATTATCACAAGGTCATCCGTCGACGGGATGAGACCCTGCGATCACGCACTAGTCTGATCTGGCTTTCACTTGTTTACATCCTCATTTTGGCTCCAGCATGGCCGCTGTGGCTGCGCGTAAATCTTAAGACGCAATAAAAACACCCAATTCGGCTGATGTAAAGAGGCTAAATCATCCAGGATGTGCAAGAGGGGAAGCGACGGCTTCCCTCCAAATAACACCCCCCCCCCACCCCCAAGTCCCTCTCATTGTTTCCTTTCCATCAAATGCGGCGACCCGTGATTATTTTAATACTGATGGAAAATGACTGTCGCTTATGACGAAGCGAATAATAAAAAAAAGACGGTCTCCCTAAAATTTGCCCTGTATCATTTTATTTTATTTCCCTAAATGTGTGAATTTGCCCTTCCACCACGCCACGGTGCACATCAAGAATCAGATCAACCTGCTCTCCTTTCTCTCTGCCTGCCTCAAGACGAAGCAACATTCACCGAAACCCGAACAGCTCCCGCATCCCCGCTCTTACCTCCCGTGTTTGTACGTTTGGTGCTGCTGGCTTCCGTTGGGGTCTCCAGGGGTCTTTTACGTGAGTCCGGGGGATCGGACTCCATGTGTGGTTGTTGATTGTGATGGTGAGGATTTGAGAAAATGCCGTTTTGTTGTACTGCTCCGCCGGCCATCATTTTCGAGCTTGCTCTTGGATGCTTAGGCTGCGTTTGCGTTTAAATCCCCCCTTTCCGTTTTTTTACGCAGCGTAGCCGTGCAGATGAGTCCTTGGAGAGGGTAAAAGCGATTTAGGAATTGCAAAATACGCCTGTTTCCTACGAACGGGGTAGGTTAGCTGCGCGTTTCTCCGTGGTGCGCCGTGCGTACAGAGAGATGCTGCGCAGGGGCAGAAAGAAAGAAACGCTGGAGCGGCTCAGAGAGGGAGAAAACGGGAGACCTCTGCAGATGGAGCGACTTCTAGGCTACTAAAAACGTGCCAGTGGAGCGTCACAGTTCCATCAACCTTCAGATAAGCGGGCTAGGATATGTGTATCATTCCGCTGCAACCAGTACTCATGTCAGGCGGTACAGGATGGTGGCGCTCCTCTGCAATAACCAACGAAACGGAACAATAACCAAAACAAAACAAAAACACAACGCAAAGCGCAAAGAGGCGAAATCAGCCGAAGAGAGAAGAAAGGAAAGGGTGATCGGTGAAGCAATTATAACAATAATAGAAAAAAAAAATCCGATTCTTAGGCTATTAGAATTTCGTTCTTCTTATCCTTTCCTGGCTCCAGTCGCGAAGACACCCAGGGGTGACGGGTGGGTGAGAAGGGTCCGGAGATTAGGAGCTGGAGGAAGACAGAGAAAGAGACGTTTTTTCCTGCTCGTTCTCTCGGTGAAGATGCTGCAGTCTTGCGTTCAGAGCATCCCTTCGCTGACTGGCTGCTGGAGGAAGCGCAGGGGAGCGGCTGACGTCACAGGGCCTCGTGATACCTTTCTCGTTTTCTGCACCCTCGGATTTCCGACGTTTTACCAAAAATAATTGTTGCTTTTTACTTTGTTCAGTTCCCCATTTCACTGGACAAATGTCTCACTTTGCAAAATCTGCACGTTATTTAAAAAAAACAAACCTTTTTATATTAATTATGAATAATCAGCCGCGCTGTGTTACAACACTTTTCACCATCTCGTGATCCAAGACTCAAATTTAGTTGCACCGAATGAGGTTAAATGAAATACAGCAAGCAAACGCTTTAGCCGAAGCTAAACAGGCCAAAGAGAAACGATGCGTAATGCGCTCAAGCAAACCGACAAAATTGAGTGCGCGCAAAGCTCAGAATCACTGATTTTCGACAGAAAGTGAAAGCATCACGAAAGAAAGCGAAAAACTGAGAGAGGGAGAGGGAGAGAGAGAGACGCCTCCGCCGAGACGCGATTGGCCGAAGCTGGAGGCTGCGTTAGTCCAGAAAAACGGAAAGGACTCGGATATGTTCTGCCGGCGGAGTCACGTGACGGAGAGCGAAGGATGCGGCGGCGGCGGCGGGTTTTTACTCCGTTACAGCGGCAAATGCAATTATGGCTGAACGGGAGCTTGAAGGTCCCGCTGCGGCTGTTTGAAGGTCTGTAAAGGCCGAGGCAGGCAGCCTCGGACACACGTGGAAACATGCAGCTGATTTTTTTCTGCCTTAAATTTCAATCAGCGAGTGGAATTCAACTGGCAAGAGCATGAAGGGTGTTTTTTTTCTACTTAAGAAGGAATGACATGAATAAGAAGGGTTTTTATAAAATCTGTTTTGTTCATATTTGTTATTGTTTGCCAGATTTTTGTGTCCAGAGAGCTTGGACCAATCCAGATGACCCTGGCCAGACTGTAGGCCTGTTCAGCCTACTTGTATTAAAAAAAGAAGAAGAAGAAGTCTCCTCCCCCCTTATTTTCACATTTTTGTCAGTCTTGCAACAATTTTATGCAATAATAATAATTAAAAACATGGCTGACAGCATAGGAATTACATAACCTGAGCTAGGCCCACCTGTCCCCTCAGCTGCTCTGTATGACCCACCTGTGTGTGCTGCGCCTGACATCTCTGCGTCGCTGTGCCTGGGTCTGAAGAGGGATCCTCCAGCACTGTGAGCTGTGTGAGAGAGCTATACCCGCCTCACTGTTTCTCCCTCTCTCACGCACACACACACTCACACGTTTGGCAAATTCTCACACACACACTCAGAGAGACACGTAAATATCTTCAACCCCCGCTCTCCTTCTCCGTCCAGAGCTCTACAGATGCCGATCGTCCTCGGTGCCTCCTGTAGATTGTAGTCAAGGTGACATTGTCCTGCTTGTTCACACGCACGAGCATACGCGCACAGAGCAGCCACTCACACTATTTCACATCAACGTGAGAAGCACACCGGTGAGCCAGAGTCCTGCTCTGGAAATACGTGGCAAATCCAAGGCAGATGGATCCCAAGCTGCAGTCTGAAACAGATTCCGCACCACAAATAGCAGGAACTGCTCAGAGGTACAAAAGGCCTGGATGCTGCAGGCACCTAACTGTATGAGCTGCAGCAAGCATCTGAACTGTAGCACAGTTTCAGCTCGACACGGACATTTATATATTTGGAGCAGAGGCAACATTCGCTGGAAGCAGAATTTTGAGGGTCCTGCACAGCCAGATCGCCCATGCTGCTGCTGCTGCATATGGAAAAAGTGAAGTAACCCCATAAGCAATAAAGCACACAGACTAACGGCATTCTTGAGTTTTTATTAGGTTAGGTCTATGAGCAGATGTTAAGGAAACGGTTTTTAGAGATTTGGTTCTGCAAACTCCTCTACAGCTTTGGGTACTGACCAAACACTTCAAGCAGTTGCCACAAACTTTCCCGAGCAACACATGCAATGTGGAAGGACAAGATTCCTGCAATATCCCAGATTTCCCTCTGCGTCCTAATCTAAATGCAAAAGCTTCATTTTAGCCAACAACAAATCTTATTTGGACTCCCACATGCAGTTTTCTTATGGAAAAAGTTACCACTAAGATTTTTTTCTTCATTTTGGAACCAAAGCCTGGAATTCCCTGTTGTCCAAGATGTTATGTAGTCACTTAAGGACAAGAGGCAAGAACAGCTCAGACACAAGTCAGCTGAATAGTCCACTAAGAATGTTTAAAAGGTCTTAAATTTGATATAAATATTTAATCCTGTAATTCTATAATCAGTCTCCTAATTTAAAAAGCCTGTTTTTCCTCTGTCACTTGAAATAGACACAGTTTTCTTTTTCTTTTTTTTTTTAAAGAGTAAATCATTCAAAGCAGGTGTTGCTGGCGCACACCTGCTTTCCATGCAGGGTCTGGTAGTGTACATACAGTAGGCTGTTCTGGCTCTTACTACACTGGTTAAAAGGTTGACTGCAGCTAAATGGATCATCAGGCTGTAAAAAGCCGCTCTGGTGCCTCAAGTGGCGGAACATTGGTGCCACCTTATGGTAGCATGACGAAGAGCAGGAGTGTTGCCGCTCCTCAGTAAACATGTTCTCGTGGAGTTCATGGATTCCACAGACTATTTCTTATGCGTGCGTTTTTGGCCCTGTTAGTCGTACATGGGTTAATAAAACACTGAGTGGCAAAGTGTCCTAACTAGTGGTTTATTTTTGCATGTACATAATGACAATAAGCATAATTTAACATGTGCTTGCTATGGCTCATAAACACAGTAAACTATGTATTTGTACAATGGATTTTTGCACTTTTTTTTGAAAGTTTAAAATATAGTGTACATTCAAAAATTCCTAATAATGAATTTTAAAGAGCATAGTTCATTTAATGTTGACAGTTTCTTTCTTTCTTTCTTTCTTTCTTTCTTTCTTTCTTCGATTAAGGAAAGATAAGTTTAACATCACTTGGGATGAAATGGCCTGTATGAAGAGGAAAGCCAGCCAATTAACTCTTGACACTATGTATATATGTCATTTTATATTTAGTTTTATGGTGAACTAAAAGTATAACGTGAATCATAACTGTTAAGAACAAATCTAATATTTAATCATCTTAAATCTCATTGTCAGGCTTCAGCTTCAAAAATTAAAGCTGGAATTTAACCATCACCATCCGATTGAAGTGTTAACTTCTAAAATCTTTAAAAAGACCTCCTAGAAGAAGTCGTCCTATGCAGAGTTCTGCAAACCCAGTAGCACTAAGAGTGTATGTGTAAGACTTCTTCCGAAAGCTCAGTCAGTCTCCTCCCACTCCCACTTATGCATAATTGTCCTCCCACCCGGTATTCATTCAATTTCATCGCAAAAATCAATAGGACAGTCGATGCAGAGCAGGAGGCTCAACCACTCTGTGAGATTGAAAGGAGACAGATGTGATGTGTTCCTCTTTATTTTTCTAGTGGCTGCCCTGACTCATGCCATCATACTGAAGATTTATGAGTGAAACTAACACGACCTGAGTGCATCAGAGGAAAGTGAATTGTAGTGATATGTTTAAAGACTTAATTACTCTTTCAAATCAGTGCCTGTTTATTTTTAGAAGCTGCAGCATGGAAGCACAGTGCCAGCGTTACTCATTTTTTTACTTCAGATATTTTCAAATGAGGGTGGAAACTCATGATTGTTCATGATTCAACTTCTCAATAGGAGAAATTTATAATGGCCAGTTTATCTAAAATACAATGCAATAAAAATGAGTAAAGTGGTTAATAAAAAATCTTTTTTTTTTACTGATCCCTGGACTGAACTGCATACAAAAAAAGAAATAAAGAGAAAAACATCCAAACAGGGAGCCTGGAAGGAGAGATTGCAGTTTAAATCTGAAGGTGCGTGCTTTTTGGTAATTCCTGACAGATGGTGGGGGGTCGGCTGGGTGAACACCCATCATTTCACCACGTCTGGAGGAGGTTTATGAGCTTCTACATAAATCTACATTATTCTCTGCACGCTGTGCTTAAACTGCTGCTGTGTGTGTGTGTGTGTGTGTGTGTGTGTGTGTGTGTGTGTGTGTGGCTGCACATATTTGAGAGGGGCGTTCTCCACTTTGTGTTTTTCTGCCACGATCATTCTTGAGATTCCAGATTTGTACATTATCCTCTGACCTTAAAACTGCTAATGTGTTCATAATCACTGCTCACTGCTGCTGTTTTGTTGCACATGCATTGCATTTCCACGTGCTGCCACTTTGGATAATTTTCTGCTAGTTCACTGAAACAATGTTGCACCGCTTAAGTTTGTGCTAGAAAATAAGAGAGAGCAAAGCGAGTCAGTAAAAGAGGGAGAACGAGAATAAATCATCGTCGCCTTCTTTGAGATTTGAACCTCCGAAAATGAATTACCTTCTCATTGTGTCCAGTTATTACAAATGAAAATATAGAGAGCAGTGAACTGTGACAAGTATTTGGGCTGTTTCACATGATTAATTATTATAGGAAGTCAAGAGGCAAGCAAAACAGCCATTATTTCACAATGAGACTGGAAAAATAGAACACATTTCCATATTGAAAAAATATGTCTTTTCACCTTCTCGGTGATGGAAAAGGGAGAATTCAATGGCAAGCCGCCATTACGGTTATTGTTCTGCTGCAGACTGATGAGCGCGCACACATCTGGTCAACTGGGAATTTTTTCCCCCTCTTTCTAATATTATTTTCCTTTGTGTGGTGAAACTAACATCAGGTCTGCTCCATTAGACATCAATATCAGGGCTGATTTCAGCAATTTTGATAGAAGCCTCTTTATAGTTACATCACAAATCTCTCAGATCATACAGCTGTCTATTATCTTGGAAAATCCATTTGGGGATTGGCTATGGACAATTCAGAGTCAATCCCATATCTATGTGGCTGAAATGGCAAAAAGATGTTTGACTGAGATGGAAAATGACAGATTTACAGTATGGAGCTTTTGTTTTTGTTTTTTTTGCATTAGCAGCAGTAACTACTGCCAAGAATATACAGCATGTCCTGCATGTGCTTCATACTGATAATAGGTGTGAAAGTACTATAATACAAAAACTGTAATCTTTCATTGTTATTAGCTAATCCCATCTACTGTACTGTGTTATAAAATATTTCTAATTAAGATTTAACTAGAAACCTCGAATGGGGTTTAAAGAGGCAACACTTTAAATCAGTACAGATTCATACCGACATACAGTGTATAGTAATATCTCTAGATTTGTATGTTATTAATTTTTTTATTTAAATTTAGCTGGTCAGCTTCAAGGGGAACCGCAGCATTTTGAAGGACTATACCCTTTAAAATCTAAAGTGCACATGGTTACAGAATTTTAATTATTGTTACATAAACCATTACTACTGTCACTACTGCCACTGTGGT